AAGTAATTTCTTTGGTATTCTATTTCTAGAGAGTAATGGATTTCTATATAGTATCGGAATATAGTATTTCTATATAGTAATAGAAATTGAAATTAAGCAACAGTTCTGGTTATAATAGCAAAAGTAACAGAAAATACTTGGGTATAAATCTAACAATATACACAGGATCTCCAAGCCACACACTCCAGACACAGATGAAAGCAGCAAAAGACCAAATGGTGTGCTCATGCATTAGGGATCAGTACTGGTCGGTGTCAGTTCTCCCCAACTTGACCTACTGATGTAACACAATCCCAGTCCAAATCCAAGCAGGAAGTTTTGTAGATAGCAACAAGCTAACTCTAAAATTTATATGAAAAGGCAGAGAAACCTATAAAAGCCAAAACAATTTCTGAAAAAGAACAAAAATTGGAAGATTCACACTACCTGATTTTAAGACTTGTTCTAAAGCTGCCGTGACTGAGGCAGGCTGGTACCTGTTTGTGAAAGGTCATGCGCACAATCAACGGCAGAACAGAGTCCAGAAACAGACTCACAAAACTAGGGCAAACACGAGGATATTAATATGCAAAACGAGTATATCTCAGCCCAAATCTCACACCTTGAACCAAAGTTAACTAAAAATGAGCCAAAAGCCTGAATGTAAAACAGGAAACTATAAAACTTTGGAGGCAAACATAAAATAAAAATTGTTTCAACCTAGGTTAGGTAAAGAGTTCTCAAATGTGACACCAATATAATGATCTATTTAAAAAATGGATAAATTGGGCTTTGTCAAAATTAAGTACATTCATTCTCTGCAAGACCCTGTCAAGATAATGAAAAGACAAGCCAGACTAGAAGCAAATACTTAAAAATCATACACACAACAAAGAACTCCAAAGTCAAAAGTAAGGAAGCCAAACAACCTGAATTTTTAAGTGGGCAAATATTTGAGCAGACTGCTTACAAAAGGGCTCTATCAGTGGCAAATAAGCTCAGGAGAAGATGCTCGGCATTGTTAGTCGTGAGGGTATGGACACTCCCAACCACACTTACCATACAACCCAGTACAACCCAGCAACCACACACGTGGGTATTACCCAAACAAAACCAAACCTATGTTCACAGGAAAACCTGCATGTGGATGTTTGTTGCAGCTTTATTCATAACACCAAATCCTGGAAACTCAAACATCCCTCAAAGGTTAGGTGAACAAGCACCACAGAATGACAAAACCAACTGAGCTACACGCAGCCACGTGGTTGGGTCACAGCTGCATCTTGCTGGTGCCCAAGCTCCCTGCTGTAGGAACCCACTCCCAGGTGTCCTGAGAATAGCTGCTGGAGAAGGCCACAGGGGCTGGAGAATGTGGGCGTGGTGGGGGCCGGGGTACCCGCACATGGGCAGCCCCAGGGAAATTTGGGCACAATGGAATTGTTGTGTGTCTTCATTATGATGGTGGCCACACCACACCGCCAATAAGAACAAATTTTACCGTGCATGACTTAAAAATAAGTGTTAGAAAATGTACCCATGGTACACCTGAACTCCAGCTAGGGTCAAGGGGTCAGTAGTCCACAGCTCCTGGTAGCACGCTGCATGTCCACACTAAACACTACAGCCCGCCTTAAAAGTAGAAATAGAAACCCAGGACGCTGCTATTTGTGACCTAATATGTATGTTTCCAGAACCTGCCTATCCCACACCACACCTCCCCTGTCACCCCATGCCCAGCGCCTTTGCCAAGGTGCCCTCCGCTGGGCAGCCCCTCTGGCCATCCATCCTGGCTTCTTGATGGGGCCACGGGCCCAGGAGCACTAACCACAGACAAAGAAACACCAGGCCCTGCCCCAACCCCAACAGGGACCCTGGACCCCCAACGGCTCTGAATCTTGTTTTTTTCATCTTAAAATAGCAGACATTAGACCACAGGCCTTTTAAGTGCGTGCCAGCTCTAAATTTTTATGAATTTATGATGCCTGCCATAAACCTCTCATTTTTTCCAGTTTGTCTTTAAGAGACTGAAGATTGGAAATAAAAGCTGGATTTTCTTGTTATTGTGGCTTGATTTGTTTATTTTGCTGTTATATTTTTAAACTTCAAAAAGAGTCTCTAATTTCAAAGTTTGAGAACCCCCACACTAGAAATGCAGTGAGGAGAACCCTCGCCATACAACCTAGCCTGTTTCCAATCCAAGGGAACTTCCAGAAACTTCTGGGGTCACAAAGAACATGTTACAAGAGGTGGCAGAAGGAGACTTCAGTCTACATGATGGAGTGGGGCAGGGGGCCAGCAGGACAGCTCGCAGCCTCGGGTCCTGTCCCAGAGGGTCACTCCCCAAACATGAACACCCTGGGCCAGTGGCAGGGATGGGGCTAGGCACCGCCCTTCCCGCCCTCCCAGTCCCGAGGGAGCTGCTCTGCTCCCCGGGCGTAGGCCTGGCCACTTCCTGGGCTTCAGCTGTGCAGGGACCTCAATGGTACATCCATGTCCATGTCCTGAGGCCCCCAGGGGAGACCTGGTCTGTGCGCGGAGGGCAGGACAGCTGCTGGGGACCCACAGAGGGGCCAGAGGGTAGTCGTGTGGACACATGTGGTACGGACCACAGCAGTCCCCTGGGCTCCAACAGGAGATCGGGCTGCTGTGTGCACATGCTTCTGTATTTGTAGTGGGGACACAATTTAAAGATTTCATGCTTAAGATTTTATCATCTTAATTTTGAACATGAATTAGAAAAAGAGCAATGCCAGTCATCTTTCACCAGGAATAAAACTCAAGCTGGCACAATGTTTTCCAGCCCCAAGCACTGACAGAAAAACCCAACTTTAAAGGAAAAATTAATATTTAAGAACCTGCTTCCGAAAAACATGATAAATAATGAAGTATGGAAATACCTCCTCTATGGAAACCACAGTATTTCTAAAAGCGCCTCTGCTGCTAGAAGCCATGCTCTGCTCCAGACAGGACTGAAAGCTGCAGGGGCTCTAAGAAGGGGGTCCCCAGGCACCCATCATACTGAATTTTCATGGAGATTAAACACAAGTATGTACTTCTTCCTATTTTTATTTTTTAAAAAGGAAGTGATTTATAAGCTCCTTGATCTTCATGAGAACAATCATGTCAGCAGGGGTAAAGGCCATGGGGGGATGTGGAAGGTATGTGGGGTTGTGGGGGTCCCTTGGGGACCGCTGGGGGTCATGGGGGTTGTGGGGGCCATGGTGAGTCATGGAAAGCCATGGGGTTGTAGGGGTCCCTCAGGGACCATGTGGGGGTCATAAGGGGTTATGGGAGGCCATAGGGGGTGAAGAGGGTCCCTGTGGGGGCTATGGGAGGTCATGGAACTGTGGGAGGCTGTGGGAAATCCTAGGGGATCATGGGGGTCCCTTGGGGACCATGGAGGGACATGGGGGGCCATGGGATCATGGGGTCTCTGTGGGGACCGTGGGAGATATGGGGGTTCTGGGGACCTATGGGGGGTAGTGGGTCACGGTGGGCAGATGGGAACCCCCAGATTCCAGGCACAAGGGTCTCTGGCTCCCCTCCAATCAGCCCAGACGTTTTCCATCTGTGCATCTGTCAGATGGCAGATGGCAGCACCCCATCCTGTGCCTTCCCTTCAGATGTGAGGCAAAGTGAGGTCATCTCAGGCTGAGGTGCCTGAGGGGCACGTGCCCACCACCATAGCCCATGCGCCAGATAGCTGAGCACCCAGGAATTCACGTGCAGACAGTGGAAAGCCGCTCCCATGGTCAGGGAGAGCATCGAGGTGGGAAGTGGACTGAAGGATGGGCAGCAAGAAGCAGGAGGGGCGAGCCTGGGGGACAGTCTCTGTCCCCTGTCCTCCATGAGGGGCGCCGGCACCCCTCGCGGAGGACACGACGAACAGCAAACCACTGAGATCGTTCCCGCGGTGAAGGGGCCAGGGCGGCAGCCTGGCCACGGCGCGGTGCCCAGGCCAGCTGGCGGGTGAGGGCCTGGGGCTTCCCTCCAGGACCCACTGGCAACAGGTCACTCTGGCTGCCACGGGCAGCTGGGCTGCAGACAGGGCACCCAGAAAAGAGGCCGATGGGCTCCAAGCAGACTCAACAGCATCAGCGTGAAAGGTGCCCATTCGCCACCGTTTCTGCCCTTCGGTGAGACAGCCTGACAGACGGGTGGGCATGTGCAGCCGAGGACGCTGCGCCGGGGGGACGGAACCACCCACCAAACAGGGCTGGAGGCTGAGAACCTGGTATAGGCGTCCCAGGAGGACACGCAGGAGGACGTGGGGCCCGGCCCCTCTGGGACCGTCGGGGAAGCATGAGCTCAGTGGCACCTCTGCAGCTAGTTACGGGCAGCCGGCGTCCTCCAGCCCATCCTGAGATGGGGCAAACCAGGGCCCTGGTCTCTGGGCTGCTGGTGCAGGCAGCAACCCCCTCTCTCTGTGTACAGCGACTTGATCCAGCCCAGGAAGCTCCACCTTGCCGTCCTATCTTGCTTGAGAAACTGAGCCATGGCATTCCCCTGCCCTTGCGAAGTAGACCACATGAGAGGGTCAGGAAGGGTACAGCACCTCAGAATCACCAGAGGTGGGAGGCCCCGTCTCAGGGAAAAGGCTGACCTGGGCCCCTGATGCCCTGTGTGTAACTATTGGTGTTAAATGGATCAGCCGGGCACACCTGCCAGATCCTGGGAAGCTCAGTGTGCAATTCTCTGTTATTAATTAAAAAACAAAACAAAACAAAACAAAAAAACCTGCTTTATTTTTATCAGGTTCTTCCACTGACAAGTAAAACCAGAGAATGTAGAATGAAAAACGATTTTCAGATTTGAGATGCATGGACCAAGGTCACCCCTGTTCTCTCTGTCCCAAGATGCTGGACCTCACCCAAGCATCTGTGCCTGATCTCCACGGCTCCCAGGGCAGTCCGGGAGCTCCACCCTGCAACACTTAATTGTCAGCAGCCCAACCTGCTGGGGGGGACACAGACGGCCTGCACAGCGTGACAGGCGTGTGATCGAAGGGCAAGGGGGCTCACCTCCAGCAGCAGCCTTCCCTCCAGCACAGCAGATCTTGCGCTCAGACCACGGTCTTCGGGGGAGGGGGCACTGACCCCTGGCTGCCGTGGGCCCTTCGGCACAGCTGTCAGAGAAGAACAAAGCAAGGCCATCAGCAACCTGCCGGGGCCCCAGACCTGCCCACCTTCTTGTGTTTCCCCAGTTCTTGGCTACCACCGTCTGCAGGCAAAGCCACACTCCCAAGCTGACCCGGGGTCTCCTGGGCAGGACACACTGGGGCAGCATAGGCTCGGGTTGCATCGCAGGGCGGGAGGAGAGCTAGGACCCGGGCCAAGCGGGGCCGTTGGTGGGAGCCCCGGGGTGATATTCAGGAGTTCAGGCCATCTGGGCTGGGCCTGACCCCGAGGACCCCACCCCTGTTCTGCTCCCCAGAAACTGCTCAGAGTCCCACCCTGCCTCAGGGACCCCCCCTGGGGTCCTCAAAGCTCCTCTATGGAGACGCAAGCTCCAGCAAGTGCCCTAATTCAGCATTGCTGCTCTACATAACTCACACCCCCCTCGAAGGCCCAAGTGACCTCATCACGCCCCCCAGCTCCCCCAACCCCTCCCTAACCCGCCACCTGGTGTGGAGCCGCCCACACCGCATGGGCTTCCCAGCTGGGAAAGGAAGCCCCAGGAAGGCCTGCCTGGAACAACTCAGGTGCCCACGGCGGGGGCAGTTTCCTGGTCCCCCTGACTCCCACCCCCAGTGTGGCTTCATCTCCGTCTTGGGGTGAAGAGCTCAGACATACAGACATGCAGGTCACACAGGCAGATGTCGTCCACATCCCAGCTCGCCAGCCCCGCTGCGGGGTCCCCCTTGGCATGCAGAATTATGGAGGATCCACTGGGGTAGGGAAAGGGGCCTGGAGCCTCTGTGGAGGGCACGGCAGGGCAGGAAGTGCCCCTCAGGTTAGTTTCCAGACTGAAGCTGCAGGTGATGTCAGTGCAACTGGGGGTCAAAGGGCCGTGCTCGAGGCAGACAGAACCCTTGCATTTGTTCTGGTCTTGGGGGAAAACATAAACACGGGCGCTTCCATCTCCCGCATTTTCTCTTTAAAAACCATCAAGCTGTGCTGAACTTCTCCTCCAGAACATGCTGGTCTGTGGTGGTTGTGCTCTCCAGGTGGTGTTCATGTCCGCTGAGCCACACTCGGACCCAGGATCTACTCCACACCCCCTGCACCCCTGCCCAGCTATTAGAGAGCAGTGGGCAGCATCTACTCCGCCAGCAAGTTGGATAGAAACTGGCCCCCCAAGGCCCCCAGAGACCTAGGACTGCCGGGCCCCCTATGCGTGCACTCCAGGTGAAATGACCTGTCTAATGCCCCCTGCTCGGTGGGATGAGACCACTGTGGACAGAGACCCCCTGCGCTTCACCCCACACCAGCCGCACTGCTGGACCAGCAGCGCCCTGCCCCTGAGCTGAGGCCACGCTGGGCCCCTGCCCTGAAGCCTGTGCTGCCTGCGCAAGCATGTTGTTGGCCAAGTGTCCACAGAGGCAAAGGGGTGGATGCAGGGAGGCGGCCCTCAGGAGAGCCCCGCATCATGGCCTTTGGTCTCTGTCTGACTTCCCTGTCCCGCCCTCTCTCAGGGCCTTTGCTCTATCAACAACCGCCCCACCCCGCACTGGACCTTTGTTCTCTGCACTAAATATTTCCAGAAATGAACCCATTTCCTTGGAAGAAATCAGGTGTATCCGGGTAACATGAACAGTCATACCTGGGGGCCCCTGGGCAAAGGTGCAGAGACGGTTGGTGCTCCAGATGGCCCAGGCCTCTCTTCCTAACGGAAAACTTCACCAGCAAGCAAGCCCCCACCACTCACTTGTCTTCAAGGCAGCGAAACACTGAGCTTGGAGATGTGTCAAAAGTCAGAGACGTTTAGAGGTGCTTAGTTGTACTCCCTTTGGGCACGTCACCCTGTTGACTCAACACTCAGTTGGAAAGCCGAGCGCTCTGAATACAGGGAACCCACATGGCTCTGCCCCCAGCACCCAGAAGCAGAAAACCGACCCTGGAGAAGCCAGTGCTGCCGTGTCCCCCTGAAGGGAACCCCCAGAGGTTGAGGGGAGCCTCTGCCAGGGGTCACACATGACCCCATGTTCTCAAAGGTCAAGAAAGATAAGAGGGCCACCTACCCACACACCCAGGCCACCAAGCCTCCCACAAAGCAAACTCCATTGCAGAGGGGTCATTCCCACCCTCACCGGAGCTCGAACCAGCTCCCCGCCTCCAGCCTTCCCCAACATGCCCCTCAAATTAGGGGAGGGGAGGTGTGGGGTTGGGCTATCCCTGCCTGCCTGTTCTTTGCCCTGCAGACCCTGTGGGGAGTGATGATTCGCAGAGATGTGAGGCTAGGGTGGGGGAAACCCAGCACAGTGATGTCACCACGCTGTGGGATGCTCACCCCCCCCACACACAATGGACTATGCCCCATCCTACACCCACTAGAGGCAGAAGTGTAGGGCAGCCCCCCAACTTCTCTCCCCTCCCCACCACGTCTCTGCACGGGGACACCAGCCCCCCAGCATTGTGTGCCCCCCACCTAGGGGGAACCCCCCAACTTCTCTCCCCTCCCCACCATGTTCTGCACAAGGAAGGACACCAGCCCCCCAGCATCGTGTGCCCCTCACCTAGGGGGAACCCCCCAACTTCTCTCCCCTCCCCACCATGTTCTGCACAAGGAAGGACACCAGCCCCCCAGCATCGTGTGCCCCCCACCTAGGGGGACCCCCAAGTTCTCTCCCCTCCCCACCATGTTCTGCACAAGGACACCAGCCCCCCAGCACCGCGTGTCCCCCCCAGCTAAGCACCCCCACTTCCCCTCCTCCGCAGCCACATCCCGGCGGGGCACGCCCAGCGGGGCCTCCTCTGGGCTCCTGTCACGCGATGGGGCCGTCAGCCCCACAGTGACAGCCACCTGGACCCCGGCCAGGGCCTCGCGTGCGAGCAGAGCCGCCAGCGGGCCCCACCCCCAGGCCTGTGGCAAGACAGAAAGAAACCGAATGTGGAGCCGAGCCGGGGGTGGGGGCCAGCTTTCCCGGAAATCCATGTGAGCTGACAGTGGCTGCTTCTCACTTCCCAGGTCCCCCAGTTCAGGGGCCCTCAAGGAACTGAAACGGGGTAGAGCAAGCTCCAGTGGGGTGTGGGGGTCACAGCCAGCGTCCCGCCACCCCCTTTCTCAGTGAGTGCCCAGGCGATGGACCACGGGGGCAGCCCCGGCGGGGGCGGGGGGCGGGGGCAGGCAGCAGCCTGTAGGCTGTCCCCCCAGCCCCTCCCAGCTCCGCTCCACCCTGGATCGGTGCTTCTCTCCCGGGGTCCTGCTTTCTTTCTCCCCTGTGACCCCAGGTCTCACCTGCGGGTCTGAGCTGGGCGCGAAAGGGGGCTGGGGCTGAGGGACGGGGGCGCTGCCAGTGCCCTGGAAGCCTCCGCAGACAGACCCCAGCCCCCTGCTGAGCGTGCCCTGGGGGGGCGCCCACCCTCTCCATGCCCAGTCCCCCACCTGGTCCCTGTCACCCCCTCATCTGCACTTGGTTGCCCACAGTAAAGGGTCAGGGAGAAGAGCTCTCAGGGAAGGGGTGGGGGTACAGGGTGTCCTTCGGGGGAGCTGGTGAAAGTGTGAGGAGAAGTCGGCCATGGGCTTGTCCAGGAGGAAATTCCAGGGATGAGAGGCACACCAGGGCCCAGGGTGCGAGAGTCCCCAGGAACCAGCTGGGGATGCAGAGTCCTGTCCACACCCAAGTGCCCCATGGCCCTCATGAGCCGCTGGTGCTGTCCGGCCCACAGAAAGGGGGCCAGGCTGCAGGCCCTGGCTCCCGCCGGGACCACATCCCATTGGCCCCACCCTGTGGGCAGCCAGTCCTCCTGCCCTGCCTGGACTCTGAGGGGCAGCTGGGGGCCTCTACGAGCCCTGGGGATTGGCCTGAGGCTAGCATTCAGCACCCGGGCTGTCACACAGAGCTCAGGCCCACCCAGCAGGAAGAGGAGGCAAGGGCCAGGCTGCCCCCTCCCAGAAATGAAGGGACTCCCTCAGGCTCACAGCTCAGCCTGAATCCCGATGGAAGTCTGCACTGCTCGGCCCTGCAAGTGCCTCCCCGACTCTGAGTCACCCGAGGGGCCCGGAGGGCCAGCCACACGGAGACTCTCACTGCGGTCCAAGCCATCCACCAGTTGACTGCGAAGCTCACTGCGGCCAGCGCGTCTCACTTCAGTGATTTCTTACATCCCTAACAAGGTCCATCTGGGACAGAGAGAATTGGAGAGATGATGGAGACAGTGGCCATCCCTGTATACACACAGGCGGGGGGTGTCAGGGTGCTTAAGAAGGGAGGGGCCGCTTCCCTTTGGGGCTCAGACTGGGGCTTGCCTGCACCCTGCCAGCCCCCAGCCAGCCCCCAGCCAGCACCCCCATCTCCTCGCTAAGAGACTTCCATTTCCCTCACACATGGAGCATTCAGAGCAAGGTGACACCCTGGGCCAAGCCACGTGCCCTGGGGCCCAGCATCCCACCACAGTGGCTGCTTAGAGTTGTGTGGCTAGGTCTGGCCAGTGAGAGACGCAATACTCTTGGTGGAGGAGAAGCTGGAAGACTCCCCTATCCCTGCCTCTGGATGGTGCTGTGATGCTGAGAAGGTGGCAGCCACTTTGTCCCCAGCTCGGGGGACGCCTGCTCCTTGGCAGATAGGACCAGCTGAGCCAGGATAAGTGGATCCAGGATGCAGGACGCACTGAATGTGGGACACGTGAAGGTGTCTAGGGGTTGGGGCAGGACCCTTGTCATCCAGGGTGACTGAGAGAAAGGCCAGGGGCCCCACTGGAGGCTGGACTGAGACCCCAGTTCTGACCATCTGCAGGTCCTGGAGTGGGCAGGCCCATGTCCGCAGACCAGCTGAATGGAACACATGCCTGGTAGAACCTGGCCCTATATCAGGGTTGAGCCAAGAGTCCTGGTGCTCTGCACCATGTGCCAACTTTCATGCTCTGGGTGGCACCCACAGCAGGTCTCATCTGGGTCATTTCTTTCTCCAGCCCTGGGCTAGCGTCGTGCTGCCCCAGGCCTTCACAGGTCAGAG